CATTTATTGATATGAGTGTGAGAGAGAGAGACAGAGAGTGGGAGAGAGAAAGAAAAAGAGAAAGAGGGGGGGGGGGTACGAGAGAGAGAAAAAGAGTTTGAATGACAAAATTAAAATATGGAACAAATTGCGGCCACGATCTATTTCACAGTTGGAATGAATTTTTTTAATTTATTTAATATTTTTTCTGAAAATATCAATCTACGAGTACTTCAATTTTCATGTTTTTTCACGCATTCTTCTGAGCGCAAAAACTCCCTGAATTTTGACTACTTTTTTAGTTGGCCCACACATGACTAAGTGACAAAATTTGAAAATATGTCGAATCGGCGCAACGATTATTTCGTGCTCTAAATGATTTTTTTTTAAATGTTCTGATATTTTTTATGGAAAGAATACGACCTCTCGTCTATGGATTCTCAAAATATCATATTTTTCTGCGGACTACTCTGAGCACAAAAAATCATCAAAGTTGCCTCTTGCAAAACGTTTGTTTCGTTTCGCCTGACCTCCCTGTTTTGAAAAAACGGACCTCAACGCCTAGGCCTGAGGACCCTTTGTTCTCACTTCTTTTTGAGGTCCGCTTCCACCCGAAGACCGGTCCTTCCTTTTTCCAAAAGTCTCGGTTCTACCAGAGTTAGTTGCAGGTAGTCCGCAATTTTGACAAGGACCGGTCCCCCGATTTGTTTTGCCCTCTAAAAACCCACTTTGTGTCTTGGTCGCCCAACGCAAAAAATGTGACTCCTTGACACAGACATCGAAACCCACTATACCGCAGCCTTAGGGCTGCGAATTCCATAATTGCCCTCCTATCGTTGTCCAGGTAAGTAAGTGTGGTACCCTTCCTTAGAGTTGCTTGAAACTGTTTCCAAATAGATACCAGTACGTCTAACGCTGCATGCACCCCTAGGCATCAAAGTCCGACACACATCTTTTCATACAGTAAGCATAAAAGGTGAGATATCCCGCATATCATCACCGGAGTGTCATAGTTGAGAGTGGATTCGCCATTCAAGTTACAAGGCAAGATACTCAACACACTATGTCATATGAGAAACATGATACTCCATGTCATACGGAGAGTTACGTTTCATGTGCACCAAGTTACCATGGTAAATTTTAAGATTTTTCTCTCTTATGTGATACGGTAACCTAGGGTTGGCGTTGGCGCCAACATACGTCGAACGTTTGTTGGGAACACCTCCCTAAAAGGAGGAAGATGGTGACTATCCGATGTCAGATGAGACCACACATCATCAATTTAAGCTATCAACTAATTACCATGGTAAATTGAGTAGTTTATTAATATTTTACAGAGAGTGTGGGGGTAGATTCGGAACATTTTAATGATGCATGTGAATAAAGATGCATCAAAATATCAAGTGGAACAATATTGAAGCCCGAAGTCGGCATTCTATTAGCTGATATTGTATTTTTTTTTGCCTCCGAAGTGTCGGATGAGGCTCTATGAGGCAACCAGACCCTCTACCATTACCAAGGTAAAATGAAGGAATGATTAATATTGATCCAGAGCGTGTGGTGTAATTTTCGTAGATCCGTGGTGTCATAAAAATGTATATTTGCCATCTTGGTAGTTTGCAAGTTCGCGAAGCACTCCCAACAGTGAGTTTTTCAATCCGCTGTCATTTTCGACCAGACAAGGTCGGTGTGATACGAAGGTTGAAACTAACATTCAATGGTT